AATCTCTACAGCCAAACACCTAAAACGTGAAATCCTGCACAAGGATTCGATGCCGCTGTCCAGTGTTTCCATGATAGACTGTGACTACACACCTGCAAATCTGAACAAGGACAAATTTTTACCGTTAGATCACAAGACGGTAAGGACCATATCGGCGATTCTCCATTATTGAAATTTCCAACAAAGAAACATCGCTTAGTAGAGCGATGACCAACAGATCCAAACGCCAACATCATTCTATTTTGACCCCAATAACCTGCATCACCCGGCCATAATCCATAGACTATGGCAACTTGAATCGGCACAACACTGCCAATCATTTGACCCTCTATGGAAACTCAGGGATAAAGAACCATGAATAACAGGGAAAACAAACCTAGAAATCTTAGAGCAAACAAGTACAAAAAGAGATTGAACACTAACAGAAAAAACTAAGACAACATAGCAATACCGGGATCAAAAGGAAAAATCGGCAGAAATTGATTAGCAAATTTTCTAATTCGCAAAAACTCCAAATTGAAAAGCCACAGCCCATAGGGACTCTCCGTGGAGACAACCCACAGGGTCGTCGGACTAGAGATGAACGGTGACTTATCGCAAAACAAGAAAAAACACACCACCATGGAGAAAGACTCCAAATCTCTAATAAACAGAGGACCTCTACAGTGAGAGGAGAGAAAGATACTTTAAGTCTTTATACAATCCTTTTTTTAAACAAATTATTATAATTAAATATCAAATTTAATTAATAAAATAAGATTAAGCTAAATGGAGATGAGTTTTTTCTCCAAAATAAAAAATAAATAATAAAAAAAATTTATCTATATTTTTCCTCTAGCAATGTTGTCATGATAGGTTGCCAATCTTCGTTAATTTGAAGGTCAGAAGATTGGTTGATAATGGGGCTTGTACAGTATGTGGCCAAGCAGAATAATCTATTGTTCATGCTATATTTTAGTGTTCTTTTGCCCAGTTGGTATGGAAGATAAGTCATTTGAGATTGTTTTTTACTTTTTGGGCTCAGAAATGGTTATGGATGGTTTCTCAATGGGAGGGCATTAATGTGGTGTTTGAACTTATTTCGGCTAAAATAATTTGGTATTAAAGCTCCATTTGTCTTGACGTAAAATATTTTTCTCCAAAAAGATTTACTTTTTTGAAGTAAAATATATATTTTTTTATTTCTACTTTTTCGATGCTTGGCAAAGGTTTACATCGAGTGTAAAATAATTTGTCGAAATTGATTGGTAAGTTATTTTTGTTAAGTTTTAATATTTTTTTCCTTGGTAAATATTTTACGGCAACCAAACACCATAAAATAAAAAAATGTTTTTCAAAAAATATTTTTTTTGCTTTGTTTCTTAATGAAAATTGCATTTTTGATATATATATATATATATATATATATATATATATATATAATTATACCTAAAATAATTATATATTTGTGCGTTCTTTCATTTTAGGGGGAAAAATGTAAAAATTGGCCATGAATTGTTGACACACACCAAAAGAAAGACCTAATCACGTGACATAAAAAATACACTTGACAACCAACCTTAAGAATAAATCATTAAAAAATGAAAATATTATTAAATGGAACAAAGTATGTGCTTCATTTTTTTACATTATTTTTACAAAGTGCTAGAATTTAGGTTAGCTCGATGTTTAATCTAACCAAGACATTAGTTTTAAATTGATACAGGTGTATGTGTATACCACATATGGCGAACAAATGCTAGCTACCGTTGCTCACACAAAATGTTTTCAGAAATCCTACATGAAGATTGTTAGGATATTATATATATATATATATATATATATATATAGCATGTGTATCACCCCACAACACACGCACCATTCAAGCCAAGAGTGCGATTTGAAAGCGAGACATTACGACCCGAATCCCTGCCAACTCCGCTATGCCCCTGTGGACAGATTGTTAGGATATTTAGTCATATATATGTTGCCAAATTTCATTTTATAGTGTACTAGTATGAATAAAATAAATAATGTGTATGGAATTGGAATTGGAATTGGAGAAAATTTTGATTTAATTTTTTTAGTTGTTTTTCTCCAATTTTATTAATTCCAATTCCAAAACTCTAATTCCATACGTAATAAACATAGCCAAAGTGTAATTGTCAATTCCAAGTGCAAGAATTGAAAAGTGGAAATGGAGGTTAATGGTTATATTGAAATTTTTTTGCATTATGCTCTTACGGTTTTTTTTTATTTATTTCCTGGCAAAGCCAAACGACACTTACAGAAAAGAGCAACTGAACCACCACCAACTGATACAAAAGAAAACGTATGGAAGACGCTTCACTACCTTGACCACACAATACAAAAAGTGTTTTACAAGCTCCATGTGGGTTCCAGCACCAAAAAGACTAATAATGATTGAGGTCAGAAATAGATCTCGAAGCCACATGTGCACATGGCCCACCATTTGACACAAGGCGTGGACCTTTCATGGTTTAGACCTATTAGCAAAATAAGCAACATTTATAGGGCCAACAAGAAGAAAATGGGCTATCCTTGGGAGAACCCTATTTTTTAAAGATAAGACCCCTGTCATTTTGAATAGGAGGCATTAATAAACCATGGGGCCCAATATACTACATCATCAGCCACTTAAAAAAAATAGCATGTTCTAGAAGCTTTTGATAGCTTCATTCGACGGCAACGCCACAAACTCCTAACCCAATGTTTGACTTTGACACCTTTTACTGACACAAAACAGTACAGCGCAAATCTCAAGGACGTCAAATGGTCGTCGGAGTTAGAATCAAATAGTATGGCCAATTTTTTAGCAAGCCTTCATCATCGATATCAACATCAAACCATTTGTGATACTGGCTAACCACCAAAAATCAGTGGCAGATCCAAGGGGGGCTTGGGTGGGCTTGAGTCCCCCCGAAAAAAAAAAAAAAAAAAATATTTTTATTTTTAGTATAGGTATATTTAGCCCAATGTTTTAAAAAAGAAAAAATTAGTAGTAGTATTAGCCCCCTCAATTTTAACCCATCCAAACAAGCCCAATATCTAAGCCACAATTTTAAAACAAAGGCCCAACCAAATAGGCCCAAGCCAAACAAGCCCTAAACAATCACTAAGCTAAAGCACAGAGAACACTTAAATTCCTAATCTTGCACAAATTAGAGAGCTCACTCCTTCTCCCACTCTAAAGTCTAACCCTATTTCTTCTAAAATTTTTCAACTCTTTAATCTTTCGATCACCAATTCCACCTTGTTTAATATTAGCCCCCCCTTAACAATTCCTAGATTTGCCCTTGCCAAAAATCCTTGTAGCGAATGCACGCCAGCCTCAATCCGTTGCCGACACAAGTCAGTAAGATGTGTGAAACAAGATACCACCGACGAGCCACCACTAGCGAGACTTATAGCCACACCAGAAACCCATATGTGACCAGAGCGACAAAGCGTTTCGGCAATACCAAGCCACAACCCATAATCGATGGTGGCCAGAATATACGCATCGCTGATCAGAGCAAGTGGTCGGTTCGTGACCGAAAGACATGCAATAGAGTCCCGTGCAACTTGCCAAACATAAACTTATTCCCAAATTTAACAGCGGATACACCCTTAAACAACAAGACGATGCGATAGTATGTGAAGGCCACACCGAGACCCAAATTAGATACACGAAAACACCACGAGAAAGCAAACGTCCAGGCATCAGCCACGAACCCACCAGAGAAATAAAAGCAGCAACACCCAACCAGGCCCCATAGGCCATGGCTACTAGTTACTGGCTCCTGGTCGAACCACCGCGCTTACCACTGATTGATCCATTGAAACCCAAGACAACACCTCGACTAGAAAGAAACCAAAACAACACATATATAAAGTTAGAATGAAAACGGAAACAAGGAAAACCATCACTATACCGGGATCAAAGAGGAAGATCAGCGTAAATTGGCCCCACTAGTCAAAACACTCGAACCAACACCCCACCGGAAACATTAACCCATCCTAGCCAACCGCCCCCATAGACGACTGACTTGAGATTTCAGGGAAATCATCCCACGACGTCTTGGAAAAACTCCAACTCGATGAACAGAGAGACTGCTGCAGTAAAAGGAGCAGGAACCTCTACAACGAGAGAAGTATGAGATTTTTATCCAATCTATTACAAGTCATGATTGGAATGTTAACTGGATTGAAAAGTTTTTAATGGCTTTCCATTTCATTGTTATTGTGTTTCAAAGAAACTCAGTTTTATGTCTTGATAAAGGCTTTTGGATTAATTTTGGACGCCCGGCCATATGTGTTTATTGATTCTTATGCTCTAAAGTTGAACTTGGGAAATTATGCTCTGAAGTTGAACTTTGGAAAAAATAAGTGAGTGGTCTGCCTTTGTTCCAGTGGCTAAAAAGTGAGAACTTAAAGATTAAAATAAAGTTGATAATGATTATAAAAATAAAAAATAAAAAAATATTGTATTTCAATTATATTGTGCTTTTTTTTTTTTTTCCTTAAGAAACTCCCTACAGTTTTATAACTACAACAGCACAAAAAAAGTAATAACATTATTTTCTTCTTCCCAGATTTGGACCTTTTAATGAGACATAGTCACATAACAAATATTAACAAATACGTTTTTGTCACCTGTTTACACATATATTTATCGAACAAAGAAATTGAACGTAATTAAGATAGGATCATAGAAGAATCATGAAAAAAAAATGTGTGTTGACGTTTTTCACAAGGTGACTTAATAAGATTTAGGGAAAGAGACCCCTTTCTTCACTTCCTCCCACGTGGGATGGCTTTATCAACTACGATAGGTATTAATCTCTCGATCTCTAAAATGGAACAAGTATTGGCAATTACTACTTTTATCAACTTTTTGCATCACAAACCATCAAGTTGAATCCATTTTCATGGATCTTTTAATCTGAATCAGTAATAATCAGTCACTTTGTACTTCAACTATTCAATAACTACACAGCTGACAGCACAAGCATGGACAGTTGAGAAACCTAATTCATTTTGTGAGAAAATTAAAACCTTCCCAAGCAGCTAAACAGTGGGAGTTGACAATAAGAACTAAAATTTTGGTGAAAACTACAACTAATATATTCACTACATTGATAGAATAACATCATCAAAAGAATCATAGAACTGTGCTACCCAAAACTTTTACAAGATTAACTACACTCAAGCTGCCTTGAGTTCAAAAGGCACTGTAACCATTTGAACCAACAGTACAGAAGAAGCATTGTGTGTGTGTGTGTGTGTGTGAGAGAGAGAGAGAGAGAGAGAGAGATCACAGTGCCTCCTTCAGATTGAAGGTTCTGGATATTGCCCTGGCCTGGTCATATTCGTTGAGCTCAACCAGCATTTTCTTCAATCGACGAGCAAGTCTTGTAGTCTCGGTCTCAGACACACCTGAAACATGTTTTTTCTCGAGTGTCTTCCCAAGTATCAGCAAGTAATCCACCAGTGGTTGAAGTTTGGGGCTGCACCATTTTATAATAAAAATAAGAATAAACTATTGGTGGGGGATTGCGTATCCTTCGTATCGCATAAAACACACATGATTTAATCAGCAATCTAAAATGAATAAGATTCCAAGGCAAACAAAATAATTATACAACCCAAAAAAAAAAAAAAAAAAATATTGTAACCCACTATTTTGTTCCATAAAAGTTTACTACTGATGCCTACCATTGTTGATGATGCAATTATTTCTAACAAGCAAGACAGACCCAACTAATTCGAACCAGCAACTCCCCTTTCTGCGAACAGCAGTAATTATTATTATTATTATTATTATTGTTTTGCTATCAGCCTGCCTTTACACAGCTGGTCCATGCCCCAAAAAAGAAGGGTTGCGTCAGGTAGCTTAATAGCCAGCGAAAAACTTTTGTTAAGACCATATAACCAAAGATCCTAAGAATATACGAATAAATGCAGGGTGTTTCTCCTTGAGCAATGTGTTGCATCAGCTCTGAGGTGCTTCTGAAAATGGACAAGGGCACCTTGATAAAAAGTAGGCAAGGGTTCCCAGTTCCCACATTTTTCTGGACAATCATGGGTAAAAGATATTATAGTCCAGGATAGTAGGATTAAGCTAGGGACTTGGAATATTAGAACATTGACAAAGACTGGAATTGGTAGCCCCTATGATCAGGAGGTCTATTATAGTATGTTTAGAAGAATCTAAATGGATATGAACTTTATTATACCGTAAAAGATGGACATAAAAATGGAGTAGGGATAATCATTGATAAGAATTTTTAGAAAATAAATGATGTAACTGCATAAAAGCATGACGAACTAATATTAAAGCATGCTAGGTAAGGAATATCTTAACAAGCTGTACCTGCGCTCCCCTGTGACACTTGGACCTGCCCACACCCCATATAATGCAGCAATGGTCCTTTCAGTTCTTGTGATTGCATCGTGAATATTAGATTGAATGCTTCGAAGATGAGGAAGAACTTTTCTAATTAGAAGGTCATCAAGAGCAAGCTTCTCCAGAACAGCCATAGCAAGAATGTTATTCCACAAGCATATATTCCTCATCAAACGAACAGACATGCCAAACCTATACGCAGCAATTCGTGATGCATTTGGCACAGCCTTCATTACAAGTGTACTCCATGTTGGGACCTATTGAAAATTACGACAAACAATTCAGCAGATATATGTGATAATCTATGAATCTTTCACATGCTTAGATTTCAATTCATATGAAAACAACTGCAGAAATTTAATTTGGTTTGGAAAATATACCATAAGATTAGCCACAGCATCAGCCAGACGGTTGCGAAGAACAGTAACTAATTCACCAATAACCCTGCTGGAAGTCTGAACATAACTGAAGACTAAATTTGTTGCTGAAACAGCGTTCTTTGTTTCACGTGTACTTACAATATCCCAGCAGTAAGCTATCTCGTGATGCAAAATTGGGATGGCAATCTTTTCCACCAGTTGAGGAATAAGGTCAGCATCAGCATCATCAGGGTTGATTTTACTTTCATCTTCAATACCATAATTGTAAAGCAGTGTATGCCTGAAAATTGTAAAATACACAAGCACCAAGTAGGATAAATAGAAGTGAACAAGCAGCAACACTTTGTGTATGCATGCATGAAATGAAAATTATATAATAAAAAAATTGAAAAATATATCTGCGTATGCGTACATGAAATGAAAAAAATATCTTTGGCTTAACCATGCACTATTTAGTATTGAAAAACCATCTATTGAAGCCATGCAGAAAAGAAATCAATCTTCTGCTATGATATGTTTGATGATGGGTTCAGGTCCATCATTAAACTGGTAGGCAATTACATACCCACTTAAAATGCTAGGCTACTATGGCATATGCAAGGAAGTGTGCCTGTGAGGCTGAAAAGATTTGGCCAGAGATTACTTACCACTTCATATTATCAAAATCTGCATCTTCATGAAGTGGGTCCCACTTTAAAAGCTCCAACCTCACATATGGCGAGAAGATAGCCGCTACATTTAATGACACATAAGCATCATTGTAACTTGATAAATAATCTTTCTTCCATCTCTCAAACCTTTCTTTAACCACTGACAGTTGAGAATATTCCTCAGCTGCATCGCTAAAGATCTGTTCAGCAGTCTGAAGCAACAAATCACGATTAGATTGGTATGCTGTACTCTCACTGTCACTCTCATCAGTGCTTGATTCTCCTTCTATTTGCTGATAGGAACTATCATTTTCCATGGATGATATTCTCTTAGAATCTGATTGAGCTTTCCTCCGTTGCCGTGCCTCCGCTCTTCGTGCCATATCCATTCGTTTTTTAAGGTTCTCATCCCTACCAAATTCATCTAGTTTCCCTGGAAGATTTTTTTCTCTCATCGCAGCCGATGCAGCCTGAGCTGCAGTAGTGGATGCTTCAACCAATGCAGTATTGCCACCACCTTTACTAAGAACCATTGTTGCTGCATTTATAGCTGCTTCTATTTCGATCATTTCATCATCCTGATCAGCAGCCCTTCTTTCTAAAATAGCTGCTGCACGTTCTTCGTGAAGCTTCTGCATCTGCTCTTCAAGTTCCTCTATGAAAGGAGCTTTATGCTGAAAAGAGAAAGTTACCAAGTGATTAGAACAGATTAAGAATCATGGTCATGGTCCCGTATACAGTCGCCATTAGAAAATATTTGAGAAACAATCAGCAGCAAAAACAAAGACACTAAAACCATGCTTCTTTTTTTTATTCACAACTCACTAAATAGATGCTTTAAAAAGCATGAAGGTTCTGGGATGCATTCCCCTTTTGAACGCTTTCTAATACATATTTACTAATAAAAGAAAAAAAGAAAAAGCATGGAGGTTGAAATTTTTTTTTTAAAAAAAAGACCGTAAACTTCTAAATTATACACGGTAGAGGACAATTAAAGTGGTGTCTGTATGAAGGGACATGCTGTACCTAATTCTCAAGCAAGATGGAGAACATTTTCTTGAGCCATTACGTAACAAGGGCAATTTTCTACCCTTCTCTAAGGTCAATTCAATGAGGGGATTTGAAAGTGGAACAATCATTTTGTGCATTTGTGAGCTGGAAACGGCATACTTTTTTCCCCTTCCAGAGGGAGGGGGCTAAGCTGTTCCATAAAGTTAAGATGCATTTCCTGTAACCTTCCTCTCAATGGTTATATATCAACACAACCAGCTAGATATTGGAGGGCAATTTATCATTTAGTCAATAGCAAGTATCAACATTGTCTAGATGGTGGGTTTTTTAGTTAATCTAATATGTACACGTCACTATGTGCGATTTCACCCCACTAGGGGCGATTTGTGAGGCGATCTGTGTTTTGGTTGTTTGGAATGAAATCTTTTCTGGACATCGCAAGGTTACCAAGAATTTCGCTTGGGGGAGATGTGAAGTCGGCGGTTCCTCATCGCGGTCCGTCGTTGTATATCGACGGGGAATCCGTCAGAGGAAGGATATCTGTTCTCTCCTCTTGTTTGGTAGGAAAATTTGACAAGGAAGTGGGGAGTTGCGATCGCGTGAAAGAATGGGCAGCGAGGGCTTGGAATACGACTTGTGGAGTGGGGGTTTCACCGTTATCCGATTCAATGCTTCTTTTCCGGTTTCCTTCTCAGGCAGAGGCCAAACGTGTGTTGAAAGAAGGGCGAAGACAATGGGGTTCTGCAACTTTGAGGATCGATGTGTGGTCCTTTCGTGTTGGTTGCCGTGGCGTTCTCAGTGATCAAGGTCTCAAGCAAATCCGGTTGTTTGGACTTCCATTACATTTATGGTGCCATGCTCTGTTCGTCGAAGTGGGAGAACTTTGTGGTGGTTATGTCAGATCTGACGCGGATGAGACCAGGGATGCTGAAAGCGTTCGGATAATAGTACGAGTTGGTCGTGATTGTCCGAAGTTTGTGTATATCAACGACGACACTTTCTGCTACAAGGTCGCGATTTGGGAAGAAATTTCGCCGGAGCTTGTTCCTTCAACGGAAAGTCTTGAAGGCAGTGACGGATCTCATCTTATGTCGGAAGAAAAATGGAACGAGCTTCTTAGCAAAGGTGAAGAAGGGATTCTCGAAATTCAACAGTGGCTGAAGGATCGTGAAATTCAGCAAAAGGTGAAGTTTATTGGAGGTAGACGACGAGGTGAGATTCACACGCCGAGCAAACGTGTCGTTGATGAGCAACACCGGTGTACACGTGGTGAACGGTGGGCTACCCCTTCAGATTCAGCTTTATCCTTATCTCTTGAAGATAAGGTAGGGAAGGATTATTTTCGGGCTGATAAAGGTTTTACTTTGGGCCATAAGTTATCAAGACAGGTTAGGAAATTTGGGCCTGATAATCATGGGCTCATTCAATCTCAACCTTACAGAGCGTATTTGGGTTCTGGGCCTGTTAGAAGAAGACTACAGAAAGGGCCACTAAGATTTGGTCAAACTGGGCAACTCCAAACTGGGCCTCTCAAGTCTGGGCCTATTAGAAAGGTACGAAAAGGGCCTAACTCATTATCTATCTCACTTACAAACATAAAACCTGGTCCTAATGAATCACAAGCCCATACCAAACCCTCTAATATTTGAATGAAATCCGAGAGGAGATTAACGAACGTCGGACGCCATGGATCTCGGTGGACTCGGAATGAAAAGCAGAAATGGGTCGCACGTTCTCGCACTTCTTCTCCAGGTTTGCGTCCTAATCTTTCTCTCAACACTCTTTCTACTTCTTCTCCTTCTTCTTCGGGTGAAGTGGCTAGCGACAGGAATGTTGTTGAGAATGTTTCGGGTCAACAGAGAAGTATCATTGGGATTTCGACTTCTAAATCAGAGTTGGACGTCTCAAAGGTTACTACCGATAGTACGGGTTTTTTCAATGGAGTGACAGTTTGTGTTGGAAAAGATTTGCATTTCAAATTGAATAATGATTCAGCCGTAGCTTTGCTTAAAGAGCTTCGGCTATTTACTTCAGTTAAAGGTTTGAGCAATTTTTCATCTGAGCATGAGGAGTTTTCAGTAATCCCATCCAAAGAAGTTAATGCTTCGGAAATAGAGGGGATTTTACAGGAAGGAGAGGTTGATGTTGCTCTTCAGCAGCACCCTTTTAACGTATCTTTTTCCGAGACAGATCCTGTTCACGATGAAGTGGACTTTATGGAACCTTTGGCTGTTGTGCGGCCTGATTGTTTGGAGACAACCACTGATCTGGGCATGGAATGGGTCATCGAGAATGTTGGAGCAGTTAGTGAAGCTTTGAGTGTCTCTGCAGAAGGTTATGAGGAACAAACCCTGTGTATTCTCCACGAAATTATTGCAGGAAATGGTAGCAGTGAACCTATTCGTGACACAAAAGAAGTCAAAGTCAGAAATTCACATCGGAAAGGCGAACAGGAAGTGAAGAATTTGATTTCTTGTGTTAACTACGATGGAAAGAATGGGTCGACCAAAGAAAGGGGGAGAACCAGGAGTGGTAAAAGGGGAGGAGGTGAATTGATTGTTTTTGGTTCTTCATGAAGCTACGACTTATAACATGGAATGTTCGTGGTCTTAATGACCCGAAAAGAAGAAGAGTTATCAAGGTCGCTTTGAGGAAGTGGAGTGCTCATGTTGTCTGCTTACAAGAAACTAAATTGGCTGATATTACTACTGAGATTGTCAGGAGTCTTTGGGGATGTAGGTTTGTGGACTTTGAAGTTTTAAATGCAACAGGCACTTCAGGTGGTATTCTCCTCATGTGGGATCGTAGATGGTTGTCAAGTTTGAACTGTTAAAAGGGTATTTTCTCGGTGTCATGCATGTTTCAGATGGAAGAAGACAATTTCAAATGGACGTTTTCAGGTGTGTATGGGCCTGTTACTGATAGTGATAAACCAGTCCTGTGGGAAGAGCTTTGCTTTGTTAAGGACTTATGGTCATTGCCTTGGTGCTTAGGTGGGGATTTTAACTCTGTTAGATCCCCATTTGAGAGATCCACAGGAGGTAGGTGGTCTTCAGAAATAACCATGTTTTCAGAATTTATTGACAATAATTTTCTTATCGATCTTCCGTTGGAAGGAGCGGCTTTTACTTGGTCTAATGGTAGGGAACCGGTTACTTTTTCTCGATTGGATCGTTTCCTGATTTCTGGGGCTTGGGAAGAGCATTTCCCGGATGTCTCTCAGGCTGTGTTGGTTAAAGTCACCTCTGATCATGTACCTCTTGTTTTGGATTGTGGTGGTTTGAGGTCTAGACGCACTCCTTTCAGATTCGAAAACATGTGGCTTAGATCTGAAGACTTTCAAGGGAAGGTTCAGTCTTGGTGGCAAAAAGGGTCTTTCACAGGCTCTGCTAGTTTTGTGTTAGCTAGAAAGCTTCAGTTTCTTAAAACTGAGCTTAAGAGATGGAATAAAGAAGTTTTTGGGAATCTTGAATGGAAAAAGAATAGAGCCCTTGCTGATATTGCTGAGCTTGATCGTTTAGCTGAGGTGGGACAGAGTAGGGAGTCTTTACGCTCTTAAAGAGCCTCTTGTCAAGCGGTTTTTGCTGAGATTGCTCATATGGAGGAGATTTCGTGGCGTCAAAAGTCTCGGGCTTTGTGGTTAAAAGATGGTGATCGGAATACAAAATTCTTTCATAGACTGGCCAATGCTCACAGAAGGTGTAATCATATCGGAAGTATTCGGGTTAATGGTTTTGATTTGTGGAGAGAAGAAGATGTGCGCGGAGGAATTGCTTCTTTTTACCAGCAGCTTTACACTGAAACTTTGGATCGAAGACCTACTCTAGATGGTCTTCCATTTAATACTATTTCTGCGATGGATAGGGATAGTATTGAGATTCCATTCACGGAAGAGGAAGTACTTAAGGCACTTTCTAGTTGCAACGGGGACAAAGCACCAGGGCCAGACGGATTTACTATACGCTTTTTTAAGGAGAGTTGGGAGGTGGTGCGAGAGGAGGTGATGAGTACTTTTCAGGATTTTTATTCTCATGGCACATTTGAAAAATCTTTGAATGCATCTTTTATTGCTCTCATCCCTAAAAAGGGCGGTGCATCTGATATCAAGGATTTTCGGCCAATTAGCTTAATCGGATGTATGTATAAGCTTATTGCCAAGGTTCTTGTTTCCAGGATGAGTAAAGTGTTGGATGGTCTTATCTCAGAATCGCAGAACGCTTTTGTTGGTGGAAGGCAGATTTTGGATTCTGTTCTTATTGCTGGGGAATGTGTTGACTCTAGATTAAGAAGCGGGGTTCCTGGCGTTTTGTGTAAGCTTGATATTGAGAAAGCTTATGATCATGTTAATTGGAAGTTTGTTTTGTATCTTCTTCGGAGGATGGGATTTGGTGATAGATGGATAAAATGGATTGACACTTGTATCTCATCAGTTATGTTTTCTGTTCTTGTGAATGGCTCTCCTGCGGGTTTTTTTGCTAGCTCACGTGGTCTGCGACAAGGTGATCCATTATCTTTTTTTCTTTTTCTCATCGTTATGGAAGGTCTGACTAGATTAATGAGAAAAGCAGAAGATTTGGGTTACATTAGGGGGTTCAGAGTTGGCAGAGATGTTGATCATCAGATCCAGATTTCCCATCTTTTATTTGCTGATGATACTTTGGTATTTTGTGATGCTGATATTTCTCAACTCAGATATCTGAGGTGCACTCTTGCTTGCTTCCAAGCAGTTTCTGGGCTTAAGATTAATGTCAGAAAGAGTGTGCTTGTTCCAGTGGGGGATGTTCCAGATATTTCCTCCTTAGCTGCTGTTTTAGGGTGCGGAGTTGGTTCTTTTCCTCTTCTTTATTTAGGATTGCCTTTGGGAGTTTCTTCTACTCTGGTTGGGAATTGAGACTCAGTGATTAATAGATATGAGAAAAGATTAGCAGGATGGAAAAAGCAGTATCTATCTAAGGGTGGGAAAGTCACATTTATAAAGAGTACTCTTTCATCCCTTCCTACCTATTTTTTGTCTTTGTTTCAAATTCCATGTTCTGTTGCTGATAGAATTGAAAAAATTCAGAGGGATTTTCTATGGGGTGGAAGGGGAGAGGAGTTTAAGTATCATCTTGTTAATTGGGATCAAGTTTGCCAACCATTGAGATTCGGAGGGTTAGGCATTCGAAAAATTGTTCCTTTTAATCGTGCTCTCTTAGGAAAGTGGTTATGGCGATTTGGAAGGGAACGACATCGTCAGTGGAGAAGAGTTGTCTCGTGTCGTTTTGGTGAGGGGAGTGGAGGTTGGTCATCTCTTCCAGTTACTATTACGGGAGGCGTTGGTTTGTGGAAATTTATTCGGAAGGGATGGGATGTTTTCTCTACTCTTATTAGATTCAAAGTTCATAATGGCAGGCATGTTCGTTTTTGGGAGGATCTTTGGTGTGGCGACCAGTTGCTTTCACACTCATTTCCTAGGCTTTATAGCATTGCAACTAATAAGCATGTTTTCGTGATTGATTGTTATCATCTTGATAACAATGGAGTTACGTGGGATGTGCGGTTTAGGCGGTCTTTTCAGGATTGGGAAATGGAGGAAGTTTCTGCTTTTTTGGATATTTTGTATAGGCAGAAGGATATTGGCAGAGGGTGTGATGATATTTTGTGGGTTCCTTTGGCTCATGGTCGGTATGATGTCCGCTCTATGTTTATTCATTTATCCAATTTCGTTGGTTCCGAGTTTCCTTGGAAGTCCGTGTGGTGCTCTAAAGCCCCTCTTCGAATCGCGTTCTTCGCTTGGACAGCTACATTGGGGAAGATTTTGACTTTGGACAATTTGAGAAAGAGAGGCAACATCATTGTTAATTGGTGTTGTTTATGCAAAGATGGTAGTGAATCCGTGGATCATATTCTTTTGCATTGTCCTGTGGCGTTTGGTTGTTGGAGTTTTATTTTCAGCATTTTCGGCATTTTTTGGGTAATGCCTAAGCACTCCTCTCAGTTGATTAACGCTTGGAAAAGCTGTCCTGTTAAGAAACAAGCTCGTGCTTATTGGAAGATTGTTCCTCATTGTGTCTGGTGGTGTTTGTGGCGTGAGAGAAATAACAGATCCTTTGAAGGAAAAGAATCGTCCTTAGCTAATTTAAAAATTCATATTCTTCGTTCTTTATTCTTTTATGTTAGAGGAAGTACATGCTCCTCGATTGATGATTTCTTTGATCTCTTGGATTCTATTGGTCCTTAGATCTTTTCTCTTGTATTAGGGATGCGTTCCCCTTTTGAACGTTTTTCTAATATATTTTTACTTATTCAAAAAAAAAAAAAAACATTGTCTAAATGGCGACCCCAAGGCTAATACCAGACATCTCACCCATCAAATGTTAGCTAACACAATTTTTTTCTTTTTTTCTTTTTTTCTTTTTTTGAAAGAATATTGTATTAGAAAGCATTCAAACGGGGAACACATCCCAAAAAGAACTACACAGGCCAAAAGAGCCACTAAACTCTGAGAGACCAAAAAACCAACAATCTCCCCCCATGGATTTACAATTTCTCCCCAAAACCCAACAAAAAAAGAGTGTGCTTCAAGAAAAAGAGGCTCGATAGCGTCATATCATAGTATCAGCAGGAAGATACACCCGGGTGAGATTCCAGTGCAAAACTAGACCGAAGATTTTGCTATCTAAAATAATTTTATCAGTAGCTAGAAAGCAATGAAAAAATGACAAAATTTACTATCAGATGATTGTAATGGAAAATATATTTAAATTGTTTATGATGTCAAAAAATTTCCAACATACACTTGGTGAGTTCATACTAGTCAACTGGGTAGGGTTGTCATAGCAGACATATAGCATACAATAATCTTAAAAACTGGCAGCAGCTCTAGTCAAGTACAAAAAGTGTAGAAAGTAGACGGCAAAGAGATATTGGCTGGCTCAATATTATTGGTTCTAATATATAATATTCTGATGTCAATAAATCTTCTATGACTATTGAATTATTAACAAGGAAATATAATTTTACAATTTTAAATCATTGCTAAATTTAATATTTCAACTTTGCCAAAACTTTTATCAGCAAGCAAGTTCAGTTAAAAAAAAAGTACAGTAAAATAAAATTTGATATATCTATAGCATAACAAAGCATGATTTTTTTTCCTTCGAATTCTGAAATCCCTGTTGGAGAATATCAAGGACTTAAATAATTTCGCTCCTATAATGATATTCTTCAACAAAACCCATACGTTAAATATATATTTAAGCAGATAGCGTTCTTAGTATAGTAACTTCTTCCCTTATAGAATTCCTCAATCCCACTCCATATAAACATTATCCTGGTGCTTACCGGGTTACTCCCAAAAAAACTAAATTCAACCTTTTGGGTTCTACTACTTACCATGGTTCACAGACGTAGACACGAAATGGATGCAAAACCGTATCTAATGTAACAAACAGAATTACTTATCAAAAAATATAGATATATGTAACATACAGAATCAAGCGCCACTCGTGAATTTCTTTTGGCCTTGCACATAGGTCCCAAAATGCAACAATAAGGAAATTTGGAAGTTGTAATCATCAGGTTAAGATGTGTTTTATTACCTTTAGTTGTTTTTATTATATGTTTTATTACCTCTAGTAGGTCTTATGGCATCTGATCCTGTGCTTTTCAGTCCACTGAAAAAGTCAAATAAAGCTCTAAACGTGGAACATCTAGGATCTGCGTTCTGACCAACTTCAACCCGCACTCTTAAAAAAAACCAAATAGCGGTTTCATTGCAGATCTGCTCTCATTTCGCAAAACCGCAATCTGAGCGTGGGAGTGCCAACCACTTTACATGGATTGTGTGGTTAGGTTGAGACTCGGCCCGAGTCAGTCTGAGTTAAGCAATTCCGCTAAACATGCTACTTGCAGCATTACACGCAATCGAGAACAGCTTGTTCTATAGATCAATAAATCTATGAAGGTCCGCTACTCAAAATCATTTTATCTGATAACTCTCAATGGTTTTATGGTGCGTTCTTCTGGACAACTTCAAGAATTGATTGAATTCCCGCAACCAAATACAGAATGAAGAAGAGAAGAATAGCTTACAAAGTGGCATATAGCTTCTCGAGAGAAACACCTAACCTAAATGGAAGATATTAAACTTGTGTTCCAGACCTTATCTATATATATATATATATATATATATATATATATTTGGGGGTTTTTGAAGGGGGGGGGGGGGGGGGGGGGGTGGGATTGGATCTTTCTTTTTGTTATCAAATTTTCGAAACCAGGTGTGACAATTGTGATAGATTTAAATGGATATACTTGAGACAGAGAGAGAGAGATCTGCAAGACAACCAAGATTTCTCATATTCTATGATTAAACTACAAGAGAGAAGTGGTTCATCAAGAGACTAAATCGGGGAAGAAAACAATAAAGTGATGGCTTCACATTTCAATAATTTGAATAGTTGACAGCTTAACCAATCAAGAAAATATCTCCTCAACTATTTAGGATTGGCAGGATGAGTCATATTTCACCAATTACGATCAATCAGAGACCACGACCTCAACTAAACTACATGAGATCTATCTTCCCTTACTTTCTCAGCCAATGCTATGAACAGTTTGGTAAGAACATCATTTGTCAAAAAAACAAATTTAAACAAGAAAGAATAATAATATGAAAGAAAAGAAAAGATAAACACTAGAAACCAGAAGCCAAAACATCAAGAAAATAATAGTTAAATTTTATCTACAAAATGTTTTACTTATCAAATAAATAAATAAATAAAAATTATTGACAGAATGTTCCTTAGCAATTAATAGACTGAATTTAAACCTGTGAAACAGCCCAAAACCCAACTTAATTACAACTATCACAACACAAGTATTAACTTGCACACCAACAATGGGTCATAGTTAAACAACCTTGTACCAAAAAGAAACGAATACACAAATACCAGATCTTAATACTATGGTGAGCATAAAAAGAACTGATGTATGAAAACAAAGATATGCAACTCATAGAACAGATGAATTCTTACCTGCAAAAAGTCACATATAACAGAAACAAAGTCACGTATCTTTTGCATAAAGATGAACTTCTCACCAGCAGCAGATAAAGACTGTTCAAGAGCAGTGACATTCAATAGTGAGGCAGATAGATTTTCATCAGTCCTTGTCAATGATGCAATGGTTCTGCCATGAGATTCCTGATAAGAAAGATAATGAAGTGCAGAGTTATATACATGTCCATTTTGTTAAAATGCATAAAATATACATTTAGAAATACCGCCAATTTCCCAATTATGCAAAGGAATAATATTAGATTAAAACAGATACTAAATAGTATAGTTGAAGTCAAAGGATTGCTCCAAAATATATAAGCTTTGATTATTAAAGGTTATCAATAATATTAATCAGGCACAAAGAAAAAGTCAAAAAAGAGTGCCTTTGTTGGATAATTCATTGCTGGATAAACTCAATCAATAAGGATAGGATGATAGAATACCACATGAGCAATTGGGCATGAAAATTAAATTAATCTAAAATTCCGTCTTTGGCATCAATATGCTTTTTGCTCTGTTTCTTCTCCATTAAATATCTTCTTCTTTTGTTCCTTTTTTCTTTTTTCTTGGCGAGAAACTCACACTCCACATGCCCCTATGGGGACTTGAACCCTCAACCTACTACTTTGGAAGGGCAAAGTACCACTGGGCTACACATCCTTTGGTCTCCGTTAAATATATCATTGTTGTATAATCATATTTTCTTTTGGTAAGTATTGTATAACAGTATAATATATTATACATAGTCTTGTGGAGATTCCAGGTCACTCTTTCCCATGGAAGGTGAATTGGAGGACAAAACCCCCCTTGAAGGTGGTTTTTTTTGCGTGGTGTGCCAATCATGGAAGCATTTTCACACTCGACAATCTCTGGAAGAGAAGGCAGATCGTGGTTAATTGGTGTTGCATGTGCAAGAGGACCGAGGAAACTGTGAACCACCTTCTTCTTTACTGCCCAGTGGTGAGGAATATTTGGGCTATGCTTTTTGTTGCGTTTGGTATGTCTTAAGTGTTTCCAGGATCCACAGTGGATATGATTGAAGCTAGGATAGGGTGTCTAGTGGAGAGCTGAGCTAGGGATGTTTGGAGGGCCATTCCCCTTTGTTTATGGTGGGGTTTGTGGAGTGAGAGGAATAGGAGAAACTTTGAAGGAGAAGAGACTCCTATTTGGAATCTCAAATATAGTATTCTTCATACTTTATTCTTTTGGGTTAATGGGCGTAATTGTAAATCTTTGGGGCATCTTTTGGATTTCGTGGATAGCTTGAAGCTTTATTGTCGCCTTTGGCATCTTGTGTATTCCATGGGAGCGCTCCCCTCTTGAGCGCCTCTTTTATGAAATCTTACTTATCAATATATATATTATACAATTACACAATTAAATGATTATAATTGGGATGTCATTTTCTAACCAAAACTGGATAAAACTTTTCTTCAATAAGGAACATTCATGAAAGCATTAATCAAGGGATAAAAAAACCTATAAGGGAAATCGAACAAGAAAAAGTAGACTGAATGCAATAAATCAGGCCCCATAATTAAATCAATGGTTAATGGCAGGAGTTTGGAATAACACGACCTGATACAACTTGGTATAAAGAAATAGGACTCAGTATATGAGAGATAAAAATTGATTTGATACATTTCTTTTGTGAAAAGAAAAAAAAAGGGGGGGGGGGGGGGGGGGGTTTCCAAAACAAATTGCACAAAAGTTGTAACAACAAAAAACAAAAATTATGGTCATTAACAACAAAAAACAAAAATTATGGTCATTAAATGGAAACAAAAGCATAACAGAACATAAAACATTAAATACATACTATGTAACATGGACTCTTAAAAAATGTATATAAAGTACCCGTGTTAGACATATGACACTAAGGGCATAGGATACATGTCCAACACATTTGGTTGGACATGCATCTAAAAAGCATATCCAATAATTCAATTTTATTTTAATATAGCTTCAATTTTATTTGGACATATGACACTAAGCAAAATGATTTCAAACAAAAAGGCTTTATGTCACAAGTCCTTTGCTAGCTGAATTAGTCTAAAGTTACCTAAGTATATGTCCAGCTGCTTGAAATCAACTATCAATTGTGGATTGATGATTCCCCTTCCAAGAACCAAGAAAATCCTAACTCAGATGAAGCAAGATTGCATTGTCTCCACTAACATATTAAAATATGGATAAAAATGCAATGACTTAGATGTTTTAGATAACAAGTAGCAAAATAAAAGAGATTATTTCCCCAATATAAAACTAAGGAAAACATGTCCTTAGTGCATTGGCTCTTCACTCCTTTTAGCCACGCATTAGAATGCTCTACTCATGTATAAAATTTTGAGTTAAGAGTAGTAGCATATTGGGTCAGGAAAAAGTTGGATCAACCAACTTGTCAATGCATTGTTTTAGACAGATTCAGGATAGCCTAAAGGCATCAATTCCTTGTACCAACCTTATCTTGGCTAAAATGGCATACACGAGTTATGTATTGCCACCCCTGTAAGAAACATGCAAAAGAGACACATTTAATTTGGCAGCATCAAGTTGGCAGGATCAAACAGATTTTAAAGTCCCACAACTGATAGTAAAACTAACATATGAAAATCCTGAAACAGGGTCATTTGGTTTTAGTCCACTGTACTTCTTACCTTATAAACCACCTCATAGGAGGTTAAGTCAAAGTTTAACAACTAAAACCATTGGATATCTGTCTACCAAAAAGAACTATTTACTTTAAAAGGGTTGATATCTCATATAGCAAGGGTCAAGTGTGTGAGACATCATAACATCTTATTCACAAGCATTGCTCGTATACTTCATACATTATTAAAGGTTTTTCATTTAATTTCTACGTACCCGAAGTTTCTACTTCATAAAAGTTTCTATTCCTTTACTTAATCAATTAATTTGGTTTCACACAAGGTTGTAAAACCATTAAAAACTAGTCACACCGTCATTTCTGGTATTGAAATGAACGTGGAACTAGGAAGTGTGATTGGCAACAATGGTGGCCAAAAACAACCACATTCTATACAGTAAAGATGCCAACAAGATGAAGGATAAAGACTCTCAGAGGGACATTTCTAGTCATGTGGATTCCTTCTAGAGGACGTTGAAGTACTGCATGTGCCCATTGATGTGTTAATATAAAGAAGGAAGGGGTAATGAAAAAAGGTATTTCTCAGACACACCAACTGGTAAAACTTGTAACAAATTGATGTTGTGTGCGCTTCTGACACTTTTCTACTGAATTTTGCATCACATTTTCAGCAAACATCTTGATATCAAAATTAAAAAACATACTCATTGTAAGTGTGTTAAAGAAATGTGATTTCAAAAGCAATTCAGCTTGGAAAACATGCATACCTTTAGCCTCCTCAAATTGTCATGCAAGGCTTTCTTAGCAATGTCAGCCTGTTGAGATATTGACATCACATCAAGACCTGAAAAGGCTCCAACAGCTCCTCCGATGCTCGGACCAGCAGGCACACTAGGCACCGAAGAATAAGAAGATGTTGCTGCAGGTGGGTACATATAGTTTTGTTGGGGAACACTCTGAACTACAGGCACAGCACTACTCCCCACTCTACTAGACCCATCATCCATTCTCTTCCCTAAACCTTTCCTGAACTGTTCTTCTTCCCAAATCTTGTCCTCCTCATCTTCATCATCAGCATCAACTTCACCATCCTTTCTAAACCCAACATCAATTGCCCTCCCATCAACAACATCCTCAAATACACCTTTCTTCCCAGTATCCAATTTCTCCCCAAATAAAGCAATCCTCCCTTGAAATTCTGGCTCCTCATCACTCAAGCCCTCCGCTTCCCCGTGATTACTACCCCCATCCAATGCTATATAATCAGGTGCCGCCGCCTGCGATTGGCGGAGCCGTTCCCTCTTAGCCCGAATTGCATCTATAGTAGCTTGGTCGGGGATGGAATCCCTACTATTGCTACCACCTTTCCCTAACCCTATGGAAGCCAATCTGGTCGCTGCATCGTCCTTGTCCCTCCTAAATAAATCAGCCCTTTTATTGTTTTCAATTTCTTCTTCTTCTTGGTCCCCCAATTTGGCAATAGTTCCACCAATAGAGTCTGATTCGGGTTTGACGAGCCCTTTCAAGACAACAACGGGTTCGAAGGAAGAAGAAGTGGGTTTGGCGGTGGAGGGAGGGGGGCGAGAACTGGCTAGGGTTCTGGTGTTCTTCTGGAGCTCAAGAAGGGCCTCTTTGGTGTAAGTGCCAGCTTGGGGTTGGACATTGGAGGGGAGCGAGGAGGAGACGGAGGAGGAGGGCGTGACGCGGTCTCTGACGGCGGTGAGTTTGTGAGACGAGGACGACGACGATGAGGGTTTGGGGAAGCGAGATTTGGAAGATTTGGAGGAAGAAGATGGACGTGTAATGGGTGAATCGTTGTCTTCGTCGTCGGCGAAGCTAAGAAGCTTTTTTGGGGCTTGGTTCTGTGGCTTCTTGGGGGGTTTTGTGGTAGAGGTGGGCCTTGATGAGGGGGGTTTGTCCGCGTTGCCATTATCGTCATCGCCGCCGTCGTTGTCGCCGGTCCGGCGGCGGAAGTTTCGGTGTCTGCTGCTCATGCTTGTTGGTGGTGCTCCAGTGGAATACCTCTGGAACAAAACGGAGGATGAGAGAGAGAGCGAGTTGCAGGCACACCGATGCTTCTTTCTCACCACTTTATCTAATCTCTCCAACAAGCTACTCCATAGTAGTATCTATGGATTGCTAGAGAGATGTACGCAGAGAGACTGCAAGTTTAATGGGAGACGATGAAAACTGGTGATGGTCGGTTCAATTGTAGAAAATCACAGTGGACAAAAGGAGAGTGACTTACAGTTTCCTTGGGTTATACCACGCACCTGAGGTTTAATTAATTACAAAGATGGTCAAAAAAAAAAAAAAAAACTCTAATTGGAAAAAAGAAAGCCACGGTCCATATGGAATTAGAGATTCGAAAGCGGTTGAATTGAAAAAAAATTAATTCAAAATTTTTCATTAAAAAATTCAAAAAAATATCATTAAAACTGTCACAAATTTTTGGTGTAAGGGCATATTTGCATTTTGACAGTCTAAAAAATCATATATATATAGCCTTTTAAGCTTTAAAAATATAGGTATACTCAAGGATGGGCATTTAATCCAATGAAGAGTTAGGAAATGCGAATGGGTCTGGGCCGGGCCAGATATAACCCAACAGACTCGACCGATTTGGCTGTTCATTATTCGGAAGATCCATAATTTAGATTCATATTGTATTTAATAAGAAATAATGAGAACAGACTGCCATTTGGGACTAGTTGATGTAAGCGGACCGCCCCACAAAGGAAGAAGGCCCATCAACCTTCAACCTAGGTGCAAAATGTAAGAAATTAGGGCAAATGTAGGTTTCTATAAATAGAAGCTAGTAATGAAAAGAATAAAAGATTGTTTGGAGTGTGAGAAAATCTTTCCATAATATAGAACGGTATTTTCTTGCATCTTCATCCGGCGCCATCTGTGAAAACCGATAAAATGATTCATCAATTTCAGCAACGAATGACATAGCTCCGATCGGGAACTATGATCGGAAAGGAAGGCTCCCGCTAGCAAGAAGAGGACCAACGAGTCAAGCATGACGACCTAATGCAGATCGTGGAGACCCTAAGATGGGAGAACGCCAAGCTGAGATCTAGAATGGAACGAAGCGACGCTCCACCACTCCCATGTCTACCTGTTGCAGATGAGCGAGTGGAGCTAACGAACATCAATTGACGAGTAGAGAGAGCAAGATCTGTCCACCTTGACCCTCAGCACAGAATGCTCAAACCGGAAGCAGAGGTGGAACACATTGAAGCTGTTTCATCATGGTAGAAAAAGTCGACTGTAGACAAGGTGTTCGATGATTTGCACCAGTCAGAAGTAAGAACTCATAACCTGAGAGTTGTAAGGAAGCAGCAGTTGGGCCAGAAGGTGCCCCCGCAATCACTAAAGCTAATCGATCATCGGCTCCGACAGTCGAATTACCTTTCACAGAAGAGATATTAAAATCGCCGAAACCCAAGAAGTTTTCAATGCCAACATTAACGCTATTCGACGGAACAAATGACCCAACCGAGCACATCTATCAGATCCAGTTAAAAATGGCCTTGGACACCGAGGACGACAACCTGATGTGTAAGGTCTTCCCAACAAGCCTCATCGGACCTGCACTTAACTAGTTCAAGTACCTACGGAGGGGGTCGGTTGGAAGCTTTCACACACTTTGCGACTTATTCATAGGTCAGTACTTTGGTAATTGGCAAAGAATGATATTTCATGTCTATTCACTATGAGGCAGCAGAAAGAGGAGCGCCTCCAGGCCTTTGTCACCAGATTTAACCTAGAGATGAGCATTGTGATTGATTGCCACCCATCCTCAGCAATACGATCATTTAAACTCGCCATGACCAGAGTGATTCAGTTTCATACGTCCTTGGTGGTGGACACGCCAAAGACCATGGACGAACTCAATTCAAGAGCGCAAGGCTATATGCGTCTCGAGGAGGACAAGGTGGTCAACACAAGGAGGACCACAATGGTCACAGTGGAAAGTAAGTCAAAAGCAAAGGTAACTGCTCAGAAAACCCCAGTATCACAACCCTGAGTGACGCCTTGGAAGGCAGAAAAGCGACAACGAGAGGATGAAATAGTCACACCACTCAAGGTCAGATTGGTACGATTGTATCAAGAGAATAAAAGGATGTTTCGAGCACCTCAACCAATCAGTCAGCCAATCGAACAAAGAGATCAATCCAAGTACTGTGTGTTCCATAGTAACTTCGGACACCAGACAAATGAATGTAGGAACTTGAGGAGACAAGTTGAGATACTGATTACGAAGGAAGACTTGTCCAACTATGTCCAGGATAAAGATCAGAACCAAAAGGATGATCACCTAAGGCGAAATGCATCATGAGGGGTAGCCAGTCTGTGTAATTAACGCAATCCATAACAGGACTCAAGTAAGCTCACAAGATGAGAAGGACAGGAAGCGTGAGTACGGTCCGCCAAGAGAAGGACGTGCCCTTGATCAGATTTGACAAGGACAACCTTCAGATGGTGCAAACACCACATGAGGACCCATTGGTGATAAGTCTAATAGTGTCGAACTGCTTGATCAAGAGGGTCTTGGTGGACCCGGGCAGCAGCGCTAACATTATAACCAATGTGGTGTTCAATCGGTTAATGGTAGATCCAAAGCAGGTCAGACCTATAGGGAATCCCTTAGTTGGTTTTGACGGTAAGAGAGTGGAGACTATTGGAGTTGTTGAGTTGCCCGTGTGTACTACACGACGGAACTTGAAGGAGAGCTTCGTCACAGTTGATGTGCACCCTTCTTACAATCACTTTGCACCAAGTCATGCGATACTTAAGTCCAGACGAGAAAGAGGTGATTGACATCCAAGGAGACCAGGTTGCTATAAAAGAGTGTTAGATGGTGACACTTAAGGCCAGTGGGAAGGGCAAGGCGGTCGCCCAGTTTATGAGTCCAAAATAGCAATTAAAGAACCCTTCGGCCCAAGAAGAGGAGTTGAAGGCGGAAGAATCTATCCTCACAATGGAACCATTAGATGAAGTATAAATCAATCTGATGAGCGCTAAAAAGTGCGCATTTAAACCCCTTAAACTTGAGTATTCTAGGACTTTATCTATCTTATTTTCCCGTTTTAGACTAATTTCATGTTATTGCCATTTTCAGACACTTATCCCCAAAATAAGTTAATCCAACTGAATTAGAGCATAAAAGATGCAATCTTCATCTCAATGGAAGAAAAGAGCAAAGTGGAAGCAAAGAGGTGGAAAGTAACATTCTTCGATCGATCATACCAAGCTTCGATCGATCTTACAGTAATCGTTCCAACCATTTCAAGATGGATCGAGCCTCTTGTTCTTATCTTCAGGAAATTCCCATCTTCGATCGATCCAACATTTCTTCGATCGATCGTACTTTTTTGATCTTATCCCCACATACCAGTTTTGTCTTTTTCCCAAAATATCCCAAAAAATATCTCAGATTTGTCTTTTTCCAAAAAGGCGCTGCCATAGTTCGATCAATCGAACCTCCTTAAGTGCGAGAAAAATAGAGTTCCAGCTAACTAAAAGGTGTGCTCGTGGTGCAATCATTCGGAAGGCCCAGTGCACGAGGTCTGACCATTGGGTGTGACACTTGAGCTACCTATATAAGGATTTTGAGCCATTTTACATATATACAATCTTAAAGAAAAATGAACAATATACAAGAGAGGTTGAAGGAGTCTATAGATTAAAGAGACACACACCATCTGGGAGTCCTTCCACTCATCTAGGGTTTCCATCAAGGAGAAGAAGATCAATTCGACTATGGAGATAGCCCTTAAGGGTTGGATGACAACATCAATGAGTGGCTAAACATCTTCTTAGGGCTAGAGCTAGCCCTAAGCATGCCTCATAGACTTTAATGTTTTGTAATTAATGGGGATTAATGTTGTAATTACCGTCTTGACCTTTTATACACATAAATCTTATTTCTACCATGATTTGTGTAGTTTAATTCTTTCAATTGATCATTTCATTCTATTCATATGTCTATGTATGCTAGAATATATGTTCATGTATTTATCTCTAGGTTTTTGTGATATTGATGCATATTTATGTGTGTTGATGCTATGAATCTAGTGATGGTCTAGGCATGGTACTTTAATGGAATACTCTTGTGATTTGTTTGATGGTTCATGCTCATTTTTTGATGGATTGTGCCTCTTCCTTAGTTTACTTAGTTTAAATTTCATGTCCCTAGCTTAGTTGTAGTGTAGTTGCTTTACTTTCTTAGATGGGAGGACAATCCATGCTTGTTGTTTGATGTTCCATACTTATGAATTCAAGTAGTAAATTTCTCTAAATTGTGGGTGTGTATTGATTGAGGGCTTAAAGGAAGGAATAATGTGATACCCCTTGATTCTAGAGCCACGGGTGATTAAGTCCGGGCACAGATCCGAGGGATACCAAACAATCAATATGTAAACAAGTAAGAGGACAAAAGAATTTAAAATAGAATAATACGCAGAACAAAAATCTAAAATAAAAATTCTCAAACTTTAAATAATAAATTAATATTATTTAAATCCTTCAAATCCGTACAACTCGGGAATCCATCTAGTGGACCCCTAATAATTCCAACTGATAAATAAATTTATAGAATAAAATCCAAACTAAAATAAGAAAAAAAATCCTATGTAGTCGGAAGAGTAAGTGTCTGTATCTGCATCAACACGATCAAGTTTTAAGCCTGGTACTGTCGAACACCTGAAAAATAAGAGTGGGTCAGGCCCACATGCAAGTTCCATCCTACTACAATTCGTACATAAACCCGATACGCAGATACATCCTAGATAGCTCGACAATATCTAAAATAGTCCATATAGATGTAGATACACACTCTAGGATATTCACTAACCTATAGTCATCACACCTGAGTAGAAGGTAACACGCAAAACGCCGTAGCGTAGTCATGCACACCTAGACCTACCAGGGAACGTCATTAGGTCCAGTTATCCATCCACGCGATATACGCACCCTAACCGTGATCAGGAGACTCAAGCTCGTATCACGGTACCATAAGTATATATATAAATTCATTCCTAGTACAGAAAGATAAAACAAATATCCATTATGTCGTTCAACTGTTTTAGTTAACAGGACATGCATCCATATAGGATTTAACTGTTTTAGTTAATCCATTCCTTATGTATGAAGGGGTAGGACTTAGCTTTTTGATCTAATCCATCCCTGATATGTTACCGTCCCATATCGGTACATATAATGCAAATGATCCACAAATGA